TCTCTAAGTCACCATAATTAATGTTTTTTGGCTCTAAATTGACTTTTGGAGGAAAGCTGAAGGGGGAGGGAACCCGTTTGCCTTGTATTTTTGCCCCCCACTCTCGTTGCTGCTAGTCGTGTGCGTCCCCTTGCTCAGCTCCACCTTTAGGGCTTCAGTTTCTCTTCCCAGACACCAACCTACTCTTCCATTTTATTTTTATTTTATTTTATTATTTTTTTTTCCTTTCCTTTCCTCTGGCGATTGTGTGTTGGGTCCTTTTTATTATTTTTATTATTTTAATTTTTTTTTGGTTTTTTTTTTTTCCTTCCGCGTGAGCCGATTGCTGGTTGAACTTGTTTAAGGGTGTTTGCTGCATAAAAGTGTAAAAGCAATTGTGACTGCAAATAATAAAACTTCAATGGTTTCTACTGAGCCGTGTCTGCCTGGGGGAGTTTTCCAATTAAAAAAGGATTTTGAAAAATAAATAACAATATTTTATTTGTAGGGGGGAAGACAGGAGCTCGGGTGGCGCAGGCAAAGCTTTACCCAAATCGAAGCAGATTAAGCCCGTTTTGGGGCTGTTTGAGAACGGCCCGTTCAAGGCAAGGAATGATGATTAATTTTTTTGGTTTAAAATGTTTTATTTACAGGTTGGAAAGGGAGGGGAGGGGGGGGTGTTTCATCCCCATCCTCACCCCGAGGCTCCCTCCTTGGCGCGGCCGTAGACGACGCTGTTGCAGCCCTCCCTGTTGCGAGCGATTTCGATGGCGAAAAACTGGATTCTGGTGGCTAAAAAAAAAAAGAGAAAAAAACCCCACAATGATTTAAGGGACCCGTTTTTCCATTTTCTGATGGTTCCTCCCCCCAGGAACCCACCGAAGATGGTGTTCTCCTCCGTGTAGCCCTGGCTGCAGTCCAGCCGCAGCAGCGTCCCGTAGTTGAAATCCTCCACCACCCCCTCGAAGCGCAGGCAAAACGGGCGCCACTTCTAGGGTGGAGGGAAGAGGGAGAGAGAAAAAAAGCCTCTGAATTCCTGGAATTTGGGGAAATAGCGGGAGGAAAATTCCACTTTTCACCCCCCATCCCAACCTCTTTGGCCGGCTCTGATTTGAGCTCCTCCGGGTCGAGGACGTCGATTTTAAGATCCCGGAAGGTTTTCCTGAAATCGCTGTAGATTTGGTCGTCCACTTTGGTCAGGTTCAGGAATTTGGGGTCGACGGAGGAGATGAGCTGCAGGGGAAGGGGGGGGGAGGCTGAAGAATTAACCCTGACCCCCACACACACACCTTGAGGTCCCCCCCACCCCAAAAAGACCCCCCCAAGGACTCACGTTGAAGTAGACCTGGGCGTGCTGATGAGCCTTCATGGCCCAGGCCAGCTCCACGCGGGGCTGTGGGGACA